TCTGGGTGTAAGTCCTTTGTGTAAGAGACAATTAGCTATAATTTTTTCATACTCTGTGGGTTGTCTTTTCATTCTGTTGGTGATTCTTTTGTTATGCAAAAGCTTTTTAACACAGTGAGATCCCAGTTGTTGATTCTTTGTAATATTTCTCTGGCAATCTGGGTTTTGTTCCTGAAGTCCCTGGATGCAACTGGAGACCATACTCATAAGTGAAATAAACCAGACCCACGTGTGTAAATATCATATTGTCTGCCTAGTGTGAGAAGCTGAAAGAGTAAATAAGATCCAAAATGTACAACAGATATTGTGAATTGGGAAGAAAATGCTCAAAAGAAAAGACAAACTATGATGGGGGAAAGGAAGAAAGGGGAGAAGAAAAAGTATGTGTATCCACAAGACAGTTAAGATAGTCACACTGCTAGTTTCTCTTAGTTCATTGAAAGGGAAGGTCTGTGCTAATATTGCTTGGGCAATATACCGCACCTGTATCTTGTACTCCGAATCACTGCTACGAAGACCACAACACGCGATGTATTAATTATTATAACTCTCCTGCTAACCTGCTTTGAAAATCTGTTCTATTGCTTTTATTTTTTCCATTTAAAATAAATAAAAATTAGAAAAAAAGAAGAAAAAATCAAAGAAAAGAAGGAAATGTCCTGCATGTAAGGATATAAACAGCCACAAATAAATGGACCATTAACATCATCCTTGATGGCTAGAAGACTGGGCACTTCCGGCTAGGGTTAGGAACAAGAAGGGCAGGCCTGCTCCGCCCACTTCCATTCAGCCTGGCACTGGAGCTTCCGGCCAGGCCAAGCAGGCAAGAAGAAGAAGCCTAATGCACCCAGATTGAAAGGAAGCAGTGGGAGGGCCTCTGTTCTCTAACGATACGATCTGACACAGAAAACCCTGAGGAATCTCTAAGAAAGCATAAAAACTAATAAATTCATTAAGGTCGCAGAATGTAAGATCAACATATAAACGGCATTAGTATTTTATACATAAGCAATGAACAGTCAGAATGGATTTTAAAAGTCATTGCATTTCCAATGATAAGAGAAAGAATAAAATTCATAGGGATACAGGTAACAACAAATGTAGCACTTGTACATTGAATGCTATAAGCTATCATTGAAAGAAGCTGGAAATACTTAAATATGCTGGATGTGGTGGCACACACTTGTGATTCCAGCCACTCAAGAGGCTGAAGCTAGATACTCGTAGCTCAAGGCCAGCCCGGGCCAGCTGGAGAGACCCTGTCTCCAATACAAAAAAGAGAAGAAAAGGCTACACACTCTTACCTAGTATGTGGGAGGCATTGGGTTGAGTCCCAAGTAACCCCCCAAATTAAAAACATTATTTTAAAAATATAATATTTAAATAAGTAGAAAGGTAGGCCATGAATTAAAAGACATAGTTTTGTTACAGTGAGAATACATCTTGATCTCTGAGTCACTCTAATGCTACTCCAACTCCCAGCTTGTACAGAAATGGACAAGCTCATTCTGAAACCCGAATGAATATACAAAAGAATTATCAAAACGACCTTGAAAAGAAAGAACAAAGCTGCAGGACTCAGTTTCAAAACATATTCAAAGTCACAGTAACCAAGACAGTATTGTTCTAGTATAAGGACAGAAAGGCAGGTCACAGAAGTAGAATGGAGAGCCCAGAAATAAGCACTTATGTGTCCAGTAAACTGATTTTTGGTAAGGTACAGAGACACCTCCTGGGGGGAAATACAGTCTTTCCAACGGTGTGCAGCAAGTGGGTAGCTCTGAGTGTCACGGTTTAGAGCTAACACACGCAGCAGAAGCCTCGGCCGTCAGCTTTGAAGTGCACGGATGGCGAAGGTTTTCTCTCTCTGCCTCCAGCTGCCATAGGTGAGCATCTGCGCCTCGCTGCACCTCTCCCCGCGACGCAAACCCTCATCCTCATCACCAGCCAGAAACAAGGGAGCCAGGAGGCCATGCACTGCACCCTGGGATATCATTAGTCAAACAAATCTTTCCCCTTTCAGTGGTTTCCCCAAGTGACACACAGCACAACAAAGCAGAGAATGCAGCAGCCATTCCTGGACTCCAGATGCAAGATGGAGATGTGCGCTTTTCAACATAAGATCATGAAATCCGCATGCATCAAGACAATGTGGGATTGGCCAATAAACCACAAAGAGACCAAAGAGGAAATACAGAGCTCTAAAACAGACCCACACAGTTAGCAACTCTTTATATCTGAAATACTCAGTATCTGTTATTTTAAGCCACAAACTTCAGGGTCATTTGATACGTAATGGTAAGGGATCATCAGCATATTCCTGCTTACGAGTATTTTCAGATTATTCTATTTTTAGGACAGAGGGGAAATGACCTTTCCCAGCTCCTGCAAGCTGCGTATAATTTCTTTTACTTCTAAAATGTGATTAGAAATCACATATTGAAAACTGAAATTAAATAGGAACAGGGTTAAGAAAGAGTTCAGAGTTGGGAACAGAAACAATAAACAATTCTTTCAGAATGTCTTTCGTTACAGGAAGAGGAAAAATGGCTTAAATTCATAAACAGAATGTTAAACAAAACTCTCTCCAAAAGAATGCCTACTATATTCATGTCCTTCTTTTCTAAAAAGAGTAAAACTAGGCTTGTGACAAGCAAGTCACCTGGTAGGAGCAGCGTTCTGTCCCCAGAGAGGATTAGTGGGCCGCTCCCTTTCTGTTGGGATTTCTCACACTGCTAGTCAACTCATAAATGTATTTTACGTATTTCTCTCTGCACCTGTTACCGTTCAAAGTGATGAAATTTTGTAAAGATTGACAAGATCAAGTGTGTTAAAAGACATAGATACTATTACTACGGAATCATAAAAAGTGTTTCAGAAGGAATATCCTGAATTGTAAGCAGATACATTGGAATAGAAACTCCAAAAAGCCATACATACTAACTCTGGCCAGTAGGGGTATATTTGTGCCTTTCTAATGTAATTAAAATCCAAATGTGTAAATCACAGGGAAGCCTACTCACAGAACAGACTGTCTGCTCCTTTTTCTATTTGAACTCCACAGGACATGTGTGTTTGACTCTTGGAATAGAGAACACAGTGCAGAGTCTGCCAAGAGATTGTTTTTTTCCGGACATGTTTTATTTCCAAGCCCTCCCCAAGTTACTGCAGTGCACAAACACAAACCATTTGGTCCCATCCTGGCTGAGCTAAGTGTGAAGAGACACCCACACTGAAGAAGAGGAGGAAAGCTGCTGGCCCCAAGGGGATGTCCCCGAGCCATGCTTGAGTCTGCTTGGATCTCCAGCACCCACATGCACTCCTGACCAGCAGCCAGGGCTCTGTCCCACGCAATTTCCTTAACTCTCTCCGCATCTGCCCCACAGGAGATGACCGCCTCCTTCACCATGAGACATGAGGGCCACCTGCTGCCCTCAATATCAATGACATTGCCAGCCGAAGGCCAAGAAGTATAGGAATCAGTTAAAACACGATCGCAGCGCAGCCATCAGACCCATCCTGCTCTCCACACCGCACACCGAGCACTTGTGGATGGGGAAAGAGGATTTTATGATTTGAGGTCAAAGCCAACCAAAAGAGCCACCAGCACCTCAAAACTTATCCTGACTTGCACTAACTCTCCAGTTATTTTGCAAATACCATCAGCAAAACATTTCAAGTAGCTACCAAAGCTCACTCATCATCCTCTGTCTGCTGGACTAGTCAGGATTTATTTTCAGTCACAAGAGAAGCGAAGGTTCCCTGATACTGTACCATGACACTGCTCATCCACTTCTGTGTGTGTGTGTGTGTGTGTGTGTGTGCGTGCGTGTGCGTGTGTGTGTGTGTGTGTGTGTGGTGTGTGAATGCCTAACCTCTGCCTCATCTGTTTAATTAATCTCTGGTATTTTCTGAGGTTGATTCCAAGACAACTGAATGCATTACTAAAGTCTGCATCTCTGCCTCTGCTATGGAGCTCAGTTTTACAGTGATCTGAAGCCACTCTCTTAATTAACATTCTGTACACAGCCTGATTCTGAAAAGTAACCAGTACTCTCCAAGAGCAGTAATCCGCAGAAACGATATAATTTGTGTTTTCCTCCAGGACGGTTTTTATTTCCTCCTAGCGTACAGTCCTAGGAGAGAACCGCGCTTTGCTAAAGCCCCGCGGTTTTGCCGCCGCAGTCAGAAGCACCTGCTGGCAGACAGAAAGCGGTCTAAGCAGTCGTGGGTAAACGACACAGCTCTTTACAGGTGTTTTCCTTTCCCTACAGCTTTCCGCTGGAAAGTCCTGGAAACCTAAATAATAAACGCACAGAAGTCAAACGCCAAGTTCCACGCAGGCTTGTTAGTTTCATGAGACCTGTGATATTCCTAACAGTTGTTAACAGTTAACGAGTTAAAGAATCACACATTTTGCAGGTGGGAGACACCTTAAGTATTATTAAAAGGCCCTCAGAGATTATCTCACTCCAACAGGTTCCCTTGAAAGATGAGGTAATTGGGGAACTTAAGGTAACCATAGTAACGCAGACAAGGCATAGGAAATCGCTCCCAAATTCCTCTTTGCTGGTTCTAAGTGTAAAGCTCAGGAGCCTCTGTAGGAATTCTGTAGGAATCCTCGGTCCCGGCCTCGCCCCATCCTCGTCCTGGTCTCCCCTCTGGAGATCGCGCCGGGCATCGCCCTCCCGGCCCGCGGACCCGCTGGGTACCCCGCTGGGCCTCTTCCTCTCCCGGCCCGGGTCCCCCTGCGAGCCCTGGGCCGGGCGGGGTCGGTGAGGGCTGCTCCGGGGTTGCCTTGTCCTCTCGCTGGAGAGCGGGAGCAGAGCGAGGTCCCTCTCCGGGCTTACGGTTCGGGTCGCGGTCCCGGGTCGGAGGCCAGCGGGTGCCATCGCGCAGTCCGGGTGGCTGGTGTCCCCGCAGGTGGTCTCACCGCGCCCCGCGACCCCATGCGCGCTCCGAGCTGCCCGGCGGTGCGCGCAGGACGCGGGCGCTCTCACCTGAGCCCGGGACTCCTGATACGGGTCCGCCGGGTCGGGCAGAGAAGGGGCCGATTCCGATCCCAATCCAGATCCTGATCCGAATCCAAATCCCGATCCCTGCGCGGGCACCTGCGGTGCGCGCGGCTCGCTGCGAACTCCTGACCCGGAGGAGGAGCTGGGCTGGCCGAGGGGAGGAGGACCCCAGCCCGCAGGGGGCGGGAACCGCAGTCTCCCGCAGGGGACGCCTGTGAGCCCAGCCCTCTGGGAGGCTGAGGCGGGAGCATCCCAAGTTGCAGCTCAGCCTGGGCAACTGAACCCCTTGTGGAGATGCCAATAAGAAAGGGAGGTGAGAAGAAAGCTCAGTGCAGAGGCCCGGGGTTCAGCCCCTGAGCGATGATGATGATGATGATGATGATGATGATGATGCTAAAATGAAGAGACAACCTCCCACCGGGTCCCTCCAACCCGGAGACTCCAGGCCCTCCTGCAGCTCCGTGGGAAACGCTACAGTAAAGCCTGCAGTGAGTGGCAGAGCAAGGGGAAGTGGAGCAGCCCAGGGCCGGTGAGGCAGTGAGTCTCCTGTCTTCCAAGGTGCTTCAAAGGTACTGGGGCCTCTGGAGTGCTTGCACTAATCACAGCTTCTCTTAGGATCCGGAAGTGCAGTGGCAGGGGACACAGCAAGTGACAAAAGAGGAACCCTTGTACACTCTGAGTCCAACGCGGAGGTAGACAGTGACCCTCTGGCTCTCGGCACCGGATGTCCATTCACCCACTTGTCTGCGGTGACCTGATCCAGGGCCCTGCACAAAGGGACAGTCCTGTCCTTTGAGCTCAGAGCTGCGCGTGGGCGGCGGGGAGGGGAGCGAGTGTCCAGGGAGTTTGGAGCTGTGCAGCACAAGGAAGGAAGCAGAGGGTGAAGCAGGGGAGAGGGGGTCCTCGGGCCGGGCGCTTAGAAGTTATTGTGACCCGCACCCCCATGAGAAGGGACCGGCAGGGGACAGAAAGTGGTAGGCACTTGGCATGAGAAGGGAAGTGCCACTCACAGGGCTCCATGGGTGAGAACCCCTGTACCTCCACAAGAGACCTCATCTCAGGGCAGTGGCACTTTTTGGAAGAGCTCGTGGATCTCCAGCCCACTGGTTGAAGCCAGTGTATTCAGAAATGTCACATGTGGGCTTTCAAGGAACTTGTCCAGCATCTGTAGCACCAAAAACCCAGAGATGCAAACCTGGTTTTCACCAAATCTGAAAAACACAGAAGTCTGCACTGGGTGGAGGCAAGAATAAAGCGGAGACTCTGGTTGGAACTGGCTTATTAGTGTCCTAATGTAACAAAGTGCCCCAAACTTAATGCTTAACACCACAGAGATCATGTCCTCCCCCATCCGAGCGGCCAGAAGGCCTGGTGTCCGGGGTCTGCACTTCCTCCCAGTACTGGCAGCATCTCCATTCCTCCGCCAGCCTCTGGGGCTTCCAGCTTTGTTTAGGTTAAAGCCAGGACACTCCCATCCCAGCCTCCAGCCTCTGGGTGCCTTTTCCTCAGTGTCCATGTTTTCTCTGCATTGTAAGGACAGCTGTCCTTGGGTTTTGTGTCCACTCTGAGGACCCAAAATGATCTCATCTCAAATCCATCCCAGAATCTACAAAATCTCTTTTTCCAAATAAGCTCCCATGCACAGGCTCCTAGGTGAGGACTTACACATTTAGGGAAGGAAGCTGCTATTTAACCACACGACTAGAAGACTAATAGACACCCAAATCAGGGTGCACTGTGGTTCTGGGGTGCCATTCCACACCTTAATTCTAAACAATATTGGGATAAAATGCGATTAATCATTTCAGTGGACTCCACTGCGGGAGACTATTCACAGTATTCACACAATCCTAAGGCCATTCCCAGCCAAAGGAAATGCATCCTTCAGGTGCATGAAGCTTTGTCTTATGGAGAAAGAGTTTTCAATTTGCTCAGTGGTAACTGCTAACTGAAGGACCATTATCCTCGGCCAATAACGTAGAACTCTTTGCCGTCACTCCCGGTACACCTCGGAGAATGAATCCCCGAGTACCTGAGTACCCACGGGACCACAAGAGACGAGCTCATGAGAAGGCAGCTTGGATGCTGGAGAGGACGACAGAAGACCCTGTGCTGATGGTCATAATGATGATGATTATTATTATTACAATCATTGTCATGCTGTGTCTCCTTTCCAACACAGGTTTCTCCTGTGTCCTTTGGTGTTGCCACTAAAATGCAGTCTTAGTTCCCCAATCTCCTGCGCTTTGTACTGGGAACTGAGCCCAGGGTTGTTACATTCCATAGGTGTGCTGTCTGCCACTTACTTCCCCGGGCACAGCCCCAGATGCGGGCAGCATGCACCAATCTGGGAGTTACAGACAGGTCTTGTTTCAGAGATGTGATCAAGGCCCATAGCCAGTTGACTATAGGAGAGGTTGCCCTAGATAACCTGGACCCGCCTGGTCCCATCAGGCCTCCCCGGCAGATGAAAGCCTTGGAAACAGAGCTGAGTCTTCAAAGAAAAGGAAGAAAGAGCATAGGAGGCTGGGGAGAGGCATGAAGGAGAGGGGGGAAGGAAAGGAAGATTCCACATCTGCACCCAAGGGCCGAGTCTCGTCCCACACAGAGTCCCGCTAACCTCTCTGCAGTCAGTGCTGTGGTTTAGGAGCCCAGCGTCCCCTGCACCAACTCACTCTCACCAAAACATGACCAATTTTGGTAGCTGGAAATGGAGCACAGGTACCACAAGACCCAGAATGTGGCTACGACTTCAGAAGCAAGCAGGGTAGCACCAGGAGAGCGCTGGAGAACACAGCAGAAGCCTGTCTTGTTTTCCACCGACTTCTTAGTGGAAATATGGGCATGAGTGTCTCTGGTAGAGAAAACATTGCCCGAATGAATAGCAGCATACCCACACCACCGTGAGACATGGACCTGCAGGCAGCTGCTGGGTGAGAGCCCAGGAGGAAATGAGAATCACGTTACAGAAGCTCAAGGAAGCACAGTGCTTTCCACCTGGTGGCAGACACTCAGCAGACCATGCCTGCAGTTACATGGAGAACGGGACTGGTACACAGTGAGCTGGGCTGACAGCTGAGATCTCCAAACCGGAGTGCTGGAGGTGCAGCCTGCTTTCCTGCTGCTTATGACGTGATGTGAAAAAGCAGATAAGACAGAATTGTTAGATCTGATTATGTGGAGTCTTTAGCACATCTGTTTCCAATAGGTGCAAAATTTAGGAGACCCCTTGTCTGGAAAATGAATTGTGATAGGAGTGACCAGCCAATTCTTTCCTAATGCCTCAGAAAAATTAAAAAGGCAAAGTATTCAGTTATACAACAGGCTCTTTGATTTTTAGCCTTCCAGCCTACCAGTAGAGCCCCCATATAGAGATTATCTAGGAAAAAATGTTACAGGTAAATCTTTTTCTTCCAGAATAAATTCCTCTGACATGTACGGAAAGGCTATAATGTTGTTTGAATTTTTTTATCAGTAGAAAATTTCTAGCTTGAAACAAAACACATAAAATTGCAAAATTAAAGAAAGCAATCAGGTTCCCAAAATTCAATAGACAGGAAGTAGGCTAATAAAACTGCTCCGTTTCAAACACAATTACACCACCCACCGAAAAAGAAGAAAATTCTAAGGACTACAGAGGCCCAAGGAATACACAGCTCTGCAGAAAGCTGGACAGGGAGGCGCATGCTTGTGACTCCAGCTCCTAGGGAGACAGACAAGGAAAGCAGAGGCTCAAAGCCAGCCTGGGTAACAGCAAAAAATAAGTAAGAAATAAAAAAGGGTGGAGATGTATTTCAGTGGTAGAGCACTCGCCTGGGGTATGGGACACCCTGGGCTCGGTTCCAGTACAGGACAAAGAGGATTAGGGAGCTGAGACTGCCTTTAATAACAACACCAAACAAAACAGGAGGAAAGTCACTTTCAAAGGAAGCTTCAAACACTGGAAAGATGGCCAGTGGTAGACTCTTCTATGTGGCTCCAGTAAGCAACTATGACTCATGACAGTGATGGGAAATACAGGGGGCCAGACACAAATCTAAAGGAAAGCTTCTTATCTTCTCGGCCATTGATGGTGGGCTGCCCACCCGCTGAGGTGACTCCCCTTCCTCCTCCTCCTCAGGGAACTGTGTGTGGCTGCCCATCAGGAATGCTGCGGGCAGCCTGGGGTGGTGGGGGTGGAGTGGGGGGTAGCCTGGAGTGAGGGAGAGGGCGGCCCCCATCACCCCGGATAATCTATGAGGGGAGCTAGGGCTTCAGAGTGTGGACCCAAAGACCATCTGGAGTATTAGCAATGGGCTCCATAGTGTGAATGCTGCCTGGCCTCCAGAGGAGCCTCCTCCTAAAGAATATGAGCTTTTCCTCCTCCAAAGCTGCTGGTCACTTCACTTACTCTGCCTACACCTGTTGTGAATGATAAAGATGATTGACAGATAGAGAGATAGATGATAAATAGATCAATTAGATAGATGATAGGTACACAGATAGCTGATATATGAGAGATAGATAGATGATAGATTAGATAGATAATAGATACATGAATAAATGATAGATAGATGATAAATAGATAGAAGATAGATTGATAGTGTCTTGGTTACTTTTCTCTCATTGCTGAGACAAAATACCCAACACCCAAAATGAAGGAAGAAAAGATTTCTTTAGCTCACTGTTTATGGAGGTTTCAGTCCATAATCAGCTGGCTCCAAGGAAGAGTGGCATGGCACAGGGGCAACACTTTATGGTGGCACCAGCAAAAGCAGCCAGAACAAAAAGGAGAGAACAAGCCTCTTTTCCTCCCTTGTGTTGTAAGCAGGCCACCCCCTCCCCTAGGGCAGGGGTAGCACTCACAAAATCTCCGTGCCCTCCTCTTGCACAGGATGAGGATATTTACAGAGTAAGGACCCTGGCTCCCTGCTGAGTCTCGAAATTAGTTCAGCTTCTAAACTGCTCAGCTTAACACAATGCAGAACCATAGCAGATAAATAGGTAGATTGGTAGAGATAGATAGATAGATAGATAGATAGATAGATAGATAGATAGGATAAATATCGAGGTGCCTTATTCTCAAGGTGGTTCAGACAAACTGACAACTCTGAAACAGGAAAATTACAGCTTGTTAATTAACTATAGCTACATAAGCCTTGACTTCAACCAGCTCTGTTAAGCAGAGAACCACCAGGCACCTTGACGACTTCCAGTTGCACCTGCCCTACTGTGCCCTCAGACTGTGGGAAGATCTATCAGGCCAGAGCACCAATCC